GTGGTAAGGGAGGGGGTGGGGGCAGGGGGGAGAAATGAACCAAGCCTTGTATGCACATATGAATAATAAAAGAAAAATGAAAAAAAAAAAGATCTATGTATGCTGTATCTCTTTTTTAATTTGATTCTAGGAATTTAAAAAATATTTCTCTGATTTCTTCAATGACACATTGTTCAAAAATGTATTGTTCAATCACCATGTGTATGTATAGTTTGTGTAGCTCCTCTTGCTGTTGATTTCTAGTTTCATTCCATTATGGTAGGATAAGATACAATTAGTTATTTCAATTAATTTGTATCAGTTAACATTTGGGTCATGGTATAAAACATGAATATTTTGGAGAATATTCCATGTGCTCCTGAGGAGTACATGTATTTTATAGCTGTTGAATGTAATAATCTGAGGATGTCTGTTAAGTCCATTTGACTTATTATGTAGTTGAACTCTGATGATTGTTGGCTGATTTTTTTGTCTGGATGACACATCTATTGGTGCGAGTGGGGTATTGATTTTACCCACTATTTCATTGGTGTGTATATGTTCCTTTACATACAATTGTGTCTGTTTTATGATCTTATATTTAGTAATAATCAGTACATATATATTTATAATTATTGTATTTTCTTGATGGCTTATTGCCTTTATCAATACGTAATGTCTTCTGACTAATTTTTGCTTGAAGTCTGCTTTTTCAGATATGAGTGCACCTGCTTTAATACTCCATTTGATTGGAATATTATTCTCAGTTCTTTCACTTTCATTCTACGTATGACTTTTCTGGTGAAGTGCTTTTTTTCTAGACAGCAGAAATCAGTCAGTCTACATCTTTTATTTGGAGAATTAAGACCTTTTATATTCAAAATTATTATTGAAATGTATGTACTAATTCTTGTCATTTTGTTGTTTTCCCTATTTTTACAAATACTATGTTCTTTACTTTCTCCTTCATTCACCCTAAAAATTTGATTATTTTTCTGAGTTGATAATGTTTCATTATTTCCTAATTCTCATTTGGTATCTACGTTTCTGCTATTATTTTGCTGAATAGTTCTATGTTTTTAACCTATACATGTATTCTTACATGTAGACACCTAGATCTATTACTATTAAGTTTGGTCTCCTAATCATGTCTCAAAGATCGTGTATATTCTGGTCTTAATTTCATTTTATTTTCTTTATTAGTGTCTGAATATGCTAATTCATCAGAAGCATTAATAGACTTTCTTGCATTTGATCTCATTTATTGCTTGGCTTCCAGATGAATTTTTATTAGATTTGTTGAGGTTTTCATTTCCAAGATTTCTGTTTGGTCCTTTATCAAAATCTCTAACTCCTTATTGCATTCTTCTCTTATACCCTATAATGTCTTCCTTAATTCATGCAACTAATTATTTACATGCTCTTTGAAGTCATTGATCTTTATTAACTTTAGACTAAAATTTTTTGTCTGGCACTTGACCAACTTTGATATATTGAGATTCAATTGCTGATGAATTATGAACCTGTTGATGAGTGATGTTGCCTGTTTCTTCATATTTCTTGTATGCTTATATTGAATTAGTGTATCTGATGGGATGGTTATTCTGTTACATTTTATGTGAGGTATTCTTAATAAACTACTTTCTCTTGTGTTTTCAATCCTGGAGTACATAAAACAAACTACAATAATAAGAATAATGTCAAAACAAGTCAGATATAGAAATACCATAAGTAACAATTAAAAAATTATACCATCAGTAACTGAAGACAAATAAAAGGCTAAAATATTGCAAAATAAACATTATGGGCTGAGATGTAGCTTAGTGGTAGCTAAGCAGTTGCCTAGCATGTGCAAGGATCTGGGTGCAATTATCAGTACTGCCAAAAAAAGTTAAAAATAAATTAATGCATCAACAAAATTTTGAAATAAAACAGAGGGGCAGGGAAAGGGGATAAAGGACAAAGGAATAAGAGACACAAAAGGGATAGAATGTGAGATAAATGAGCAGAAAAGAACAAGAGGTAAATAGAAATCCAGCTAAATGCCAGACACAGTGACTAAGCTTGTCGTTCTAGATATTAGAGTGGCAGAGATTGGGAAGATTACAGTTCAAGGCCTACTCA